TCCTCAATTTTGCAGTGAAATTTAAATAAAATATTTGTATTGCATTTGCCAAAGGAAAACGAGAGTCCATCTGCATTATTTATCCATTGATTTGAACACTGTGAAAAATTTCTTTGAAATCCTAAAAATCGTTACTTTTCTGCTCTATTTTTTGCTTTCTTTTGTGCAATCTAAACACACATTAGGATTCTTTGAAATATTTCACCTTTTCACTCATGTAGTATATCTCAAGTGTAAGAAAGTGTAAGAAAGTGTAAAAAAGTGTAAAAAAAGTGTAAAATATTGCAGAAAATAAGTTCCTAACACACAAACATAAAACTTGTTAAGATCCTTTTGGGTTATTTTTAAGGAGCAGACAAAATAACTGTGGATGATTGTATAACCTGTGAGTTCAGACAGTGTGAGTTAACCTGTGGGAAAGCTTATTTCCCTCCAAAACTATGGCTGGTGCCGCTTATGTGGTTGAATACAATATTTGCCCCAAAGGAAGTGTGTGTGAAGCATAAACTTTAAGTAAAACACTTTTGCTTGGTGTTAAAAGTGCCTTGAGCTGCCTTTTTAAAAGGATTTATTCGATTTAACTGCTCAAAATGATGTACCGTAAAAAATGAAAAAACAAATATGAATAAAGTATATATCGCCAACCATTCAAATGGCATTATGAAAATCTGATTATAGTTAAGAAAATAAATATAAAGAAAACAAATTATATAAATCCAATAGTTATAAACCAAAAAAAAAAAAAAACGGAATACTGTAAATGTAAACATTTAATATATTGGAAGTAAGGATTTAAAACTGTCAGTGTAAAAATAACTCATACATCATGTCAAAAAAAAGGATTTTTTGGACAAGGATTTATCAAGGATAATTTTCGAATGCATTTTAAATAAAAAATTATATAAAACTTTTTATCACTTCTGTATTGAGGCTGCTGGTAATGCCCTCCTCTTTCGCATATTAATTGAATCTGGCATGTGTGAATATTTACGAATGTGAAAAGGACTTAAAAAAGCGAAGAACATTGTCAAAATTTAAACTTTCTTTACTTCTTTTAATTTTCGCAAACCTTTATTTTTTTCAATTTAATATAATTTAATATTATTTTATTCAATTTAACTTAATATAATATAATTTCGTTTGATTTAATTTAAGATAATTCAATTTCATTTAAATTAATTGCATTCAAGTCAATTAAATTTTAGTTTAGTTTATTTTATATTATTTTTTTTATTTTAACTTATTTTAACTTATTTTAATTTTATTTAATTTGATTTGATTTAATTTAATTTCTTTTGTCTAAGATAATTTACGAATGTAGCAATTCCAAGTAACTGTGATTTAGGGTCCCGATTATTCGAAACAGCAGGAAACGAGCACAATGATCGTTATTATATTTTTAATAAATCTTCTGTACCAATACCCCTTTGACTAACCACAGAAATAGATTGATATAAGATGACTTCTTACCACAAAGAAACAGAAATTAATTTGATGTTGCCCCAACAGGTCAAGAGAGACATAGTCTACATACTTCCAATTTTAATCTCAATCTCCAATCTCAAGTTCGACATTATGTCTGTTCTCATAGTTCTAAACTGAGCATCGGACAACATCACATCAAAACTTCAGTAGGCTGCTTTCGCTTGTATTCATGAAAATGACCTCGTAATAACCGTAGCTATAGCTATAGCATAAAATATAAAAATATATTGCCAACTTTTCCATGATTTACCTATGGTTTCTTTGTATTATAAGAATACCAAATAATAAGAATACAATAATATTAGATTTATTAATTTCATGAATTTTATTTAAAAGCTTAGAATTTAAATTTATCTGGATTCCATATCAACTAAATATATCTGTCTGATGTGACAAAAAGTTACCTCTATCTAGAAGATGAAATTTCTAGCCATATTCTTTCTAACTATTTGGCATTGATCAGGATCAGTACGAACTTAACAGCATGTATCGGATTGATTCAGTTGCTGAAACGATCTCATGGAATTAAAGCCATGTCTAGGGGGACGATTAGAAGGTAGAACATGGTAAATAGATACTACGGAAACAATGACAAAAACATATTTCTATTATGTCTTTCCCCTGGTACAATACTAGCTACGTCTTTGCATGGAAGTCATATGCCCCAAATCATTTTTCATCATTAATGTTATTAAATTATCTATGGACTTAATAAATATTGAGCCCTTATACTCAACTTGCAGTACTTCTCTTCTTATTTTCGAATCTTATCCTATTTACAATATGAATTTTATATAACTATACATATTTTATATATTTTTTTGATACAAAAATTAACTTTTATTCAAACTAGTATTGTTATAATCATCATCAATATAATAATTATAATTTAATTTGTTTTTCATTAATTATATGTCGACAACAAAATATTTTTATTAATATTTGAATTTCTGAGTTTAAAATTTTTTCCAAATATAGTCAAATATAGTCAATAAAATTATTTTAAAATTCAAACTACAGTCAAACTTCCATAACTCGAAGTATCATTTTGCAAAGAAAAAGTTCTACTTATAGAGACTTCGAGTTAAACATTTTTTGTAATTCTATGTTTATTGCTCTCTTAACCCTGTTGCTTTCTATTTCGTTCGAGTTATAGAAAATGAGAGTTATAGAAGTTCGAGTTATGGAAGTTTGACTGTATTGTTATAATAATTAAAGTTTTTTTAAAACCAGAAAAAATTGTATATGAAAGCATACACAAACAAAAATATTTCAAATTTATTAATTTTAATTTAATTTATATTTAATAACTACAATTAAAATTATACTTGCTAAAATAAATAAATCATATTTTAAATATTTGTTTACATTGAATTAATTTTGTGTTGCCTATAAAAATAATAATAATTTATATTAAAACAAAAAACTGTTTGTTTTGTTATAAATTTGAAATATGTGTAAATGCAAATTTATTAAAAATTATTTGATGTCAAAAACAAAATCGCTTAAATAGTATGACAGACCCTTATCAAATCACATCAATCTTCGAAGAGCTTCTATATTTTTGCATTAATCATACGCCATGTGAGGCCAAAATTGTCAAAATTTATTTTAATTACAATTATTTTTTTTTCTTTGTTTATTATTTTTAATGAATTATGCATGTTTATTTTTGCAATTTAATTTGCTATAGCAAAAGCAACATTTAAATTACAGTTAAAAGGATATCCTGCACCATAAATATTAAAAACAGTCGCATGCACGCCATACACTTACACATGCTCAAAGCGAGTGTATGGACCGAAATGTACATTATTTAACATTTTAAACCAAATAAAAAAGAGGCATTTTAACACCAACACACACATATAAAAATAGTCTAATGAGCCAACATACACATACACATTGTTATTTAACATTGCTGTTGTTGTTATTTCACACATAAATGTGCATAATTTAGTGGCGAATGACAACGCAGCAGCAAGCCGAGCCATAAATTACACTCAGTAGCAAAAATACTCGTACGCCAAAGCCAGAAGCACATACCGAAATCAATGTTAAGGTTCTTATGTGTAAGACTTTTTGTATGTATGTGTGTGTGCTTATGTTAATGTAATAACGTATAACATTGACCTTTTTTAAAGCATGCAAAGACATTTTCTTGGGAGAAGTTTTAGTAGCGCAAAGAAATTGCAATACAAGCAATGTTGTTGTTTTTTTTATTAGCTTATAAATTTTGTTGGCAAAATTTAACATTTCTAACAGGGCAATAAAATAAAATTTTCATATTTAATTTAATTTCTTTAAAGTAATTAAAAAATTATGTGAAAAGGTGTAAAAGAAATATTTACATGAATTTACATGTATAGTACCTTTCACCATATATACACAATGATTTTCGACATATGTGTTTTTGCGTAATTATATTTTCATTTAATATACTTTTATGGTGCTGTTAGCTGGTACTTTGATTTTTACTTAAATTTTGTACAATAGAATTTACTTAGAACGACACCCGATATAACGACCATTACTTAAAGCCAAATATGTTTTGAATTATACACATAGGTATATAATTAGCAAAATTTTATAGCGACATTGTTATAAGAGTGAACAGATTATTGCAACCATATTTTGAGAAAATATTAAATCTGACTTCTGGTTATAACTAGACTAGAAACGTAACAGTCAGCTGCTTTATCTAAAACAACGTAACGAGCACTACGGTATCATAATGATGATAATGGGACAATGTGTACTAGCAAGACATGCTATAGACTGAGTTTACCCTATTATGATTTTTGTCACTGTTATGATTCTGTGGATGAGAAGAAAATTGTACTACATCTCATGTATTCGTGTCCATCATTGATCTTTGGGGCGCCTTTTCTTACCATCTATCAAACTTAGGAACTTGCTCACGTTTATAGACTCGTTATATTGATTCACTTTCACTTGAATGGGAGAGACGTGGTTTTCAGTGTTGTTCATATGTTGACCTACTAATCTGTGTATCAGCTAGTAATATGTCAAGCTACGGACTAATCAGTCGATGTGTTAAACTACTGCTTATAAGGATCGGATAGACTCAATCGCTTCAATGTCGTTATAACTGACTGCATTTATTTTAAAGCTCAGTTTAACAGTTTTATTTCGTAATTAGTGTAGATTGAGTTTAATTGTTTAATTCATATGCAGCTAGATATATTTAGTTTATCACTTAATTACTTTAATAAATTATTTTAAGTATTTTGTTAAATATTTTTTGAAAACTAATGAATATATAGCTCTAATTATAAATATTATTAATTCCAAAAGGAATTATATTAATTGAAATAAATATCTATTAAATGTAACTTTTAATTATTTACATTAAAAAAATATTTAAAAAATGAATTAATACCATAAGTACAATTTTCTTTCCTGTAACATTTTTAACTTAAATTTAGATTAAAATCCTTATATTATATTTAATAAAAATTGATTTTTTTTTTATTTTACTTTGTATCTTTCAGGTGCTTTGCCGTTGGTGACAGCAGCAACTTATTGCTTTTCTTATAAATGGAAGTGGTTAATAATTACTTCCTACTGCCTGTTATCATTGTGGGGCCTTTATAAGGTAACGAATAACATAATTAAAAATTATAGCATTATATAATTAATAATAAGAGATAAGCTTACCCTTACATTTACGAGTTTTTAATTTAAATTATTTGTGAAATTTATTTTATAACCTTTTCCTTTGAATATTTATGTAAACTCTTTATAATAAGAATTGAATTGACATACTCGATTAGGACCCATTAAAAAGCATAAAGACTGCAGTGAGTCTTAAATATACTTCTATAAAATTTTATAATATAATTATCAAAAACATGTAGTAAATTTAAAATCTAAATAAGAATCCAAAGAACACATAACTTTTTCCTTCTGTCACTATTTCTCTCACATAATTCCTTCCTACACTTTATATAAATAAGAGATATTTAAACACAATTTGGTTACTTAAGTTTCAATAAAATTCTAATTAGAATAATATTATTCCAAATATTGATTTATCGAGTGCCCCTAGATTAAGTATATCTAATACTCTATCTTAAATAACTATATAATCCTATTCACACTATCACAAACAACAACTACAAACGGAATTTTATATCTACTAATCAAGTTTAGTTACTAGAATTATTCGATTTAAACAATGTTGAGGAAGAAGTGCAAGGCAGACTCTTCAAATCTTTAATAGTATACTCTGAAATAAAGAATTTAACTAGTTTAATATTGCCATCTGTAGAACTTAGTCATCTTATATATGACTATCATATAATCATATTAGGGGAATATTCTAACCTTTAACTCGCCGGGGTAGCCAAAACCATAATTAACTTGTGAATATTACAATAATATTTGTTAAAATGCTATATTATAGCATTTTTGTACTTCGATTTCAATCATTTTTTTAAGACACCTTAAAAAATGTTTATAAAGAGAATTCAATTTCAATTAATTTCGTATACATGTATGTTTAATATAAATTTAGAACTAAGTTACCTCTCTAGACTTTCTACTAATGTCAGGTTTTTGTGACTATAATTAAAAGTTGCACTTATGTGCTTTGCTATAATAACTTAAATTATTTTTAAAAACTTATATAACATAATATCAAGAACAATATAAAAAGTTTTTTGCCTTAAAATAGGGCATTGCCCGTTTTCAATAAAAATACTGATATCTAAATGCACTGAAAAATACTAACATTTTTTTTACTTAACTGTTGATCAAATTTGTATAACATCAGAAGACGAAATATCTAAAAAATTCTAAATTATTCTAAATAATAAAATAGACAAACATGTGCTCTTTTCTTTAACTATACCCTGCCAAAAAATACCTATTAATATTAAAACAGTATTTGTAAAAGTGCTTCAATTAAGCATTTTTGTGCTTTAAAATTAATTGTTTTTTCGACACATCTTATCAAATATTTCTAAACGGATTTTTTTTATTATAAAAATTGTGAAATAATTTGATTTCTATTTTAATATATTAAATATATAGTTACAATATATCTACGTGTTGTTAGTTATGCACTGAAATTTATTTCTATATTAATATATTCAATAAAAAGTTAGAGCAAACTTATCAGCGTTCATATCATCTGCGAATGCTCAAGATTGAACATAAAATAGTATCAGATACTAAAATATTTATATAAAATCGCTACGAATATTGGTTGCGTTGTTATGCCTCGTCTATATGATGGTATTAAGAAAGTGAAAAGTTCAATCAAGAGTTTTCACCTCGTGTTTCTGAAACGGGAAATTGGATTAAAGGTAAAGCGATTACAATGGGGGGCTTATAAATTTGCTCAGAATACTCTAAACTTGACAACAAGCTGATCTATTCTTTGAGGAACACAAACTAAAATTATCTTTCTGAGTAGCAGATACTACTACAATGTAGCATAAGTTTTTTCGACATAAGTTGCTGTTCTAAATCTTCCAATTAAATATCTTTGAAATATTTGACAGGAATATTTTTAAACTTAGTGACAACGAAGAAGTTATTATGTTTCTTATTGATATTTTCACAACAGCTTAGCTTATATCGGAATTTCGTACATCTCTCAAAAAGATTGTCATGACCTTCATAGGTTTTGAATCATAAGAATATTCCTACTAACTATGAGGTCGAAAAATTTTGCCAGAAATGTCAAGCGGTATGCCATCCTAGAAATCATATCATGTGTGAAAAACTATTTAATTTTAATTAAATTAACTACACGTCGAGAACAATTCCAATTGCAAACCATAGATGGCGCAATGAGCATATTTGTCTAACTACAGATATAAGATTTTTGGCAATTAGTTTGTAATACCCGCCACTCTATGTCCGACACAATTTCCGTGTTGGTAGGATGCTATTTCATTGGTAAGCAACATAATCGGTTAGATGCTCTATTAAAATGACTACTGCTGACGTCTTACGCAATCTCTTTATCATTGCTCTACACTTCTCAGACTGTGCACATCCACTATGAGTTGACGTCTATCCAATAACGTAAGCATAGACATTATAAATCTTACCTTCTATCGTATTGTGGAGCATCAGAAGATAATAAAAATGTTACTCATCTACTTTGTCAACGCTTGATTATGTCTTTCTCAAATACTTATCAGATATCAATAACAGTTTTTATTAAAGGGCTAAAGTAATTTCTGGGCTTTTAATATGGGTGTCTTTACCTTAGTGAAGATGCCCTCTGAAACTGTGGTTACTCTTTATTTATAAATATTTTATTTTAAATAAAGATGAAATAAGATCTAGATTAAATCACAAACATTAAAGGAATCAAAAAATGTCCATTAAGAGCTCTTGACAGATGGATATAATATTATCTTACTAATCAATCTTTATTAGTAGATAAATAATTCATTGTTGACAATTTCAATTAAAAGTTTGAATGTCTTAAAGGAAAAAATAAACACAAATTAAAAAATAAATAAAAAATAACAACAAAGTCACCCAAAATTTGAATTACCCTATTTTTATTTCATCGGAGCAATAATGAAAAAAGGACATTTGTTACTTTAGCAACCAATTTATTTGCATTTGAATACTAAAAGAAAAATTATATTTAAATAAATTTTTACTGCAAAAATTTCGCTTATCGACAATTTTCAATCTAAGCCTCACCAACACCAACACCAATACACAAAAAAAAAATAAAAAAAATATATATAATGATATAAAAAAGTAACCATAAAATTATAACATTTTATTTACTTTTTTATCCTTTTTTTATTTTTATTAACTTACTTTAGGCATTAACTGCAAGTTCACCATGGCAGCGCCGTCTCTGTTTCGCAATGCCCTTCACCATGCGATCGATTCTAACAGTTTTGCGCACTCTGGGTCTGGTGGGAGGAAATCGAGTGGCATTGTCACATGTTTACCTGCAGGTGAGTGTTGAAAAGAGTGTTGCAGACAAATAAACAAACAGCAAGCGAAAATAACGCAAGAAAATATCACAAAAAAAAATAATAACAAAAACAAAAAAAAGAAATAAAAAAGAATAGAATTTAAAAGGATAATGAAGGTTTTTCAAACAATGAAAAATAAAGGTAGCATATAAAAAAGAAATCAAATTTAAGGTATATTTTTAGGGGACTGCATTCACATTGTAGACAATCTTCTTAAATTTGTTAATAAAAAGGACATATTTTTATGGTTGTTAATTTTTAAAAGCTTTTTTAAATCAGTATTGGCGATATATTTTTATGTGTTTTAAAGACGTTTGAAGATATTAAAAAGGAAATTTTAATAGTATTTATCATTTATGAATATTAAGCAATTTTCTTATTTAAATTTAACAGGAATCAAATACCCTCAAGAAGTCATTTAGACTTACTTACTTGCTTACTTAATTAGTTTACCAGTACAGACGTGAGTCGTTCTTGGTCACGTTTAATAGCCTCCACCAGGCAGTTTGGTAAGAAGTTGCTGTCGCCAATTGATTGTACGGAGTGCATTCACATCGTTAATCAACTGATCCTTCCAGCGAATATACGGACGAGTACCGAATTAAACAACTTTCTAGTCAGACCACTTTTCTCTATTCACATGACATGACCAATCGAACGAAGCCACTAAATTTTTATGCGATTAACTGTGTCAATGTTGCGGTATAGCTCATATAGCATATCATTCCATATAATTCAATACTCGTTGCCAACGCGTAAGGGATTAAAAATCTTCCAAAGAATTTTTCTCTCGAATGCTGCTAACGCCTTCTTATCACAGTAAAGGCATGGCATGATAAAAAACTTATAGAGCGTTATTTTTGTTTATCGGGGGAGGGCTTTATTTCTTAAATACTTACTTAACCCCGAAGTAACATATGTTGGGATAAGTGATTCTTCGTTGAAGTCATTTAGATGAAACTAATATAATAGATAAGGATGAGAAACAATGGGGTATTTAAACGTACTCTTAAAGCGTTAGTTGATCTATAAAATCTATTGTACTATGCCAGGAAAGTGTCTCCTAAGCTAACCTATAACTTAATCGATAGAATGAAAGACGTGTTTGTTTCGTTTACTTTTAGTTTTATATTTTAAACGCTGAAAAATTTTTTTAAACTTTTTATTTATGCTTTTAAACTCTGTCACATTTGAACTTTAATAAAAAAATAACAGAGCATTTAATTTAATTTAATTTAATTTAATATAATTTAATTTTCTAAATGCAGTTACTTTTAAGGACTGTTATTTTTTTCTCACAAAAGGACATAAAATGTTTTATTTTTATTTTTAGAAACAATTCACACTTTCTTTTGCGTTATTTTTTATCCTCGTTTTAGTGCTCCTAATCTCTTTATCATTGCTCAGGAATCAAAATGACATTAGTACTGTGCATTCCAAATTGAAATAATAAAAAAGTCCTTGGGGTAATAAAAAGTCTTGCTCAACAATTTGCAAAGTAGTACGATTTTATGACAAATTAGAATTATTTTCTTAAAATTGGTTAGATTAAAATGATAATCAAAATATTAAAAAAAAGAAATTATTAACATAAAAAAAATTTATTTTTAAGTTTTGAATAAAAAATTATAATAGTGAATGTCTCCGACTAAACAATTAATAACTTCGAAAGAAATATATGTTTAAATATGGAGTAGGAATTGCATTCAATTATGATTATATATTTAATTATAAATTTACCATTGTTATAATATATTATATTGACATGTTTAAAACTTTGTCTTAGATTAACTAAAAAGTTTTTTGTCTGATATATAAAGACATTATATAGATCAAGACCTAACTTTATTCAACAAGTTATAATTTTATTCAACTCCATATTTATTCTAAAAATATAATGTTTAACATTACATTTAAAATGATTTTTGAAGACCTTTTTTAGTCACATTCTATCTAAATTTCTCCAAATATCCATCCATAGACCAGATAAAGGAAAAAAAATTAGATTTAACAGTCATAACTTACAGATGGCAATAGGTGGAAAGCCACAGTGTCAGATTTTAACCCACTGCAACCATTACTTATAAAGAATGAAAGAGATTCCAACCACAATGTGAAAACTTCGTTCCAGTATTTAAGGGGGAGAAAAATGGTCAAGAGTTTAATACCTAGAGATCTAGGTTTATTTAAGCCGGGCATCACACAGGTGGATGGCGAGTTTGGGAAGGGGGTGAAGTTATTGTGCAAGCGCTTTGGGATGGGTTAATGATAGACTCTGTGGCCAGAGTCAGGAGAGCCATGGTTGTAGATTGGAATGATGGGTGTATCAGTGTCCTGTTCATCGAAGTATAGCGTGAGGTATTGGGTAATTCAAAGTACATAGCGTGCTCGAGGTCGACAGGAAAGGCAGTAGTTGAAAACACACTTGGTTCATTGCTTGATTATTTCATATAATATATATGAAAAAATACATTTTTATGAAATTGCATATGGGTATCTAAAGAGCACTTAAAATCATCAACCTCTGAGGTAATTTATTGTTAACTCTGAACGATTAAGTAGAAACGTAGTACACCCATTTTTTAGCAGCTTTTTAATGGATAAATGTTTATATAGACTATAGTCCACATATACTTTTAATATATATCTATATATATGATATTAACTATTCCTACATATTTCTAATAAACAAATTATGAAAATTATGATGAAAGTATTCGGTATCACTGTGGCCATGTTTGAATTTCTTATACCAATAGATCATTACTACTTTTTTAATGACAGATTGCATTTATAACTTATAAATTTAATCTGTACTTTTAAAGGTATTTGGTCGTGCCAAAGGATTGAATTTTGTGTCTACTGTTCTGAAATATTAATTTTCAGTAATAATAATATTTAATGTACTAATACTAAATATTATTTTATATACAACATAACTTCTCTACTTATGATCGAAATACCATCCCTGTTTATTGCCATATATCACGAAAGTCATCACCTGAAAAAAACGTTCTTTTTATAAACAATGTCATCCATTCATCAGGACCAGAAGTTTTCTACCAATCTTGTTTTTATTTTTTTAAATAGCGTTTGTAATAAATAATTTTTAATTTTTTTAATATTATTGAAATATATATTTTTTATATGTAATTTTTTTATTCAATACAGTGAGTCGTAAAATGTACACAAAAAAAAATACTTCAATTTACTCGTACTTTTTATATGTTATATCATTTATTGGACGAATACTAATATTATTCAATCAATATTTATAGAAAAAAATTGTAATAAATTTATTTAAAAAATACAGATATGATATATTAAATTAATATCTGTTAAAAGTGCAAGAATTTTTATTATATGAATATTGTAAATATTTTATTGGCAAATAAATTTTTATGTTTATTGTAATATTTTTCATATATGTTCAATATTGTTGATTATTTTTATTTTTTAAATGTTCAATCAAATGCAGGTAGAAGTTGTAAGTCAGTGTTTTATTTAATATTTAATAAAGTTAAATGCTTTTGAAATAAATGCAAGTAGAGCGCTTTTAGCAAATAAAAAATTAGTAGCACTTCACCTTTAACTGCATTTGTATAATTACAAGTACTTTTCTGTTAAATATTTGATTGTGCATATTTGAGATTAAAAACATTAAAAGTATGTTTTAGTATTATCAATATTTCACACTTTGAAAGAATTGCTTGTTTCTCCGATAATTATTTTAATCGTTCCCAATATCCTTCTGATTTGAAAACTCCATACAAGTGTAGCTTACAAATTCGTGACAATCATGTTATTTATATAAAAATCTTTGATATACATTAATTTGGTCTTCAATATGTTTGAGTTTAAGCCCTCATTGGCACATTCATTAGTTATATGTTCTCATATATTAATATGTGATCATTCCAACAGTGGAGCGACAGTTCTTGTACTTCCCAACTATAGGACAAAATCAAAGCAGTTGATAACTTAACTGAAGTCTGTGGGGTATCAGTGCTAAGAGTAATGATAAGAGATAAAAGAAACAACTCAACATTATTATTGTAAATACACCGAATTGGAGAGATTGCGGAAGCTCTGACTCCACTATAGTTATTGTTTCGAGCTTTAAATATAGCATTCAAGTTATAAAAAGTGATCGCGAGACAGCAAACCACATATAAAAGAAAACTAATCAATAAGTTCAGCTTTGTACAAAAATTAGCAAAAGGTATTCTAGAAGTTTCGTACTATCTATAATTTACAATACATTTTGTATGAAGACTTGTTTTCAAAATCAACAAAAAAAAAATACAGATCTGAGGTCTTTCAAGTTATCTTTGCTTTCATATTGCTACAATGAACATATTTCATACTCTTTGTTCTCCAAAGTTAGTATATACACTACAAGGTTATCAGTTGTTGAGATCTCTTTAATATAATATAATATAATATAATATAATATAATATAATATAATATAATATAATATAATATAATATAATATAATATAATATATATAACTTATATAATATAATATTAATATAATATAATATAATATAAGTATAATATAATATAATATGAATATTAATATAATATTAATTAAATAAAATAATATAAGTATAAATAATTATAATATATTATAATATAACTAAATATAATATAATATAATGATATAAAATATAATATAATGTAATATAATACGATATAAAGCAATATAATATAATGCAATATAACATAATATTATTGTATAAATAAATAAAATAAAATGTAATATAATATAATATAACTGTAAAAAATATAATAATATGATATGATATAATATAATGTATTATCATATAGTATATAGATTATAATAAAATATAATGTAATATAATATAATTGTATAAAATATAATATAATACAATATAATGTAATATTATACAATATAATAATATTATATGATATAATAGTATAAAAAATAATATGATATAATTTAATATGTAATAAAATGTTATAAAATATAATATAATATAATGTAATATAATACTATATAGTTTCATATAAAATATCATAATATAATATAATAGTGTAAAAAATAATACGATATAGTGCAATAATACAATGGTATGAAATAAATTATTATAAAATTTAATATAATATAATATAATATAATATAATATAATATAATATAATATAATATAATATAATATAATATAATATAATATAATTTAATCTCTTGAATCTGTAAGTTATATGAGGTTACAAACTTAGCAAAATTACATAGAAATTTTATAGAGAGGTTTCAAGCAGTAATAAATTATAACAACAACATTTTTTATTTATTTTTAAATAAAAATTTGGCAGGACCTTCAGTAGTTGCACTCTCAAAAAATTATTAACTAATAAGAATTTAAATAAGAATTATTTTCAAGACCACTGACGATAGTTATTTGACAATACTCAGCTGTATAGTCAGACAAAAATTCAGTTAATTAAAAATAAATAAATATGTTGTTACAATTCACTACTGTTTGAAGCTTCTCTTTTAAATACAATAGTTTATATTAGGTAAAATAGGCACAACCGTCATAATTGACGTTAAAAACAAATTTAATAATCCAGCAAGGTTTTACGGTCTCATAAAATTCATAATCGAATAAAATTTTAATAACTATATTATGGCTAACATAACATAACATATAGTACTCTCGAGAGATATAAAGGCCTGCATTAGTTGACGAACAACAATTTATTCACTATTTCAATATATACATTCAAATTAATATATTTTTTTTAGTTGGATTCTATATAGATAAAACTAGTTAATAGATAACATGTTGGCATCAGTAGCTTTTTGTAGTTCTCAAAGGATTACAAGGACTTGCAGAGAATTTCAGAAACGGTCAAACCCATAAGTTTAGGCTAATAGATTGATAATAGTAAAATCATTTTTTGATATGGATTTTTACCTACTTTTATGTAGAATAATATATATGTAAACAGAAATTTGAACGCTTATAAAATGAATCGATAAAATGAAACACCTCTCAATATTTAATCTCCGCAATCCTCACAATCTTTCAATTACTTTACTTGACATTTGTTCACTAAGTTTACGGAACCTTACATTTATATATATATATTTGCATAATATCTAATAAAATTTCTTCTTTTTAAGATTCCTTGAATAAGTACCTAACTGCCTGGTTAAATTAATGTATAACACAAATAATTATTACTTCTGTAAGCTTTCTCTATACATAGGCGGGTATATACGTACCTATATAAATTATTTAAAATTATATTTAGCAGTATTCATTATAAAATATATTGTAAATGATACTTTAGGCCTTAGTTTATTTAGGCTTATTATCACTTTTACTTGAAGTTATGAAAGCTGAGCTCATTTTTTAATGAGTACATATTGTAAGTAAAACGAAAGGATACCTTTTTTTTCCAAACACAAATGACCTACATCACAGAATGAATTTTTTCCACAATTTGGCAGGAGAATAGTTGAGACTTTGCGTAAAAGTACAATAAAACCATCTGCCATGGTAAAGCTTACACAGAACGCGTTCATAAACAGTACACGCTCGCATCAAGCAGAGAATATGTTTCACTTTCGAAATGTGTAATTAAATCAAAATGTAAATATTTGCCAAGCTTTAGGGAAAAACAGCAGCAAGTGACGCTACCAAGTGACGCCAGTACCCCACAGCAACTGCGTGTAAAAAACAGACGACTGAAAGGATCCGGCAACAGTACCAGCCACAGCAACAGCGACAGCAACAACCTTGTGGTGTTAAAAGGTCACTCCCTTATGGAGTTGGCTTGGAATATTTAAGAGATTTTGCAATTAAGTCAATAAAGTCCCTAATGATGTACCTTAACAAAATGTAGCTACATAATACGTATATGTGTTACTATTCCTTTCAGTTTAATCCTTTTTGCCAACAGAACAGAACCGTGTTCTATTGAGGCAACAAAATTAAATGAAATATTGATGAAGCGAGAGTTTTTAGTGTTTGAGGTTTTGCTAGAAATTTTGACAAATTATTTGGCATTCGCAAAGTCATTAATAATTTAAAAAGGTTAGAGTGCAAAGTTGGTATTAGCAGAAAAATCAAACTCATATTTAAGTACGTACATATCATTTCTGTTGACATTCTAGTATCGCACCATAACATACCTACATACCTACATACCTACATACATATTCGTATGGGGCTAAGAGGCTTACTCTTATTGATTTAGTGTGATGGCCTATATGACAATTTGTTAAGCTTTATGCTAAATTTATGCTTTCATAGAATTTAAATACTGAAATTTATTCAATCCATTTACTTTGTGTATTTAAGGATGGCGTTTCCATACTCGGCGGTGCTATTGGCGCTATGCGTATACCCGAAAAATGGTTTCCTGGTTTGGTTGACTTCTATTTGAATTCACATAATATAATGCACGTTTTAGTTGTCGTTGCTGTGTATTCAATGCATAAGGTAAGTAGCTTTCATTTTACTAATTATTACTTAACACCAAATATAAATTTTATAACTGAAGCTTTGTTCTTCTATAAATAACTTTCAAAATTACTAAAGACCTAAACATAAACAAGACGTCAATTAAGCAATGATTTATACCTTTCACCTTTCAAGTAAAGATTTTTTCTTCGTAGCATCGAAAGCCACACTCTGTGAGACTAGAAGCCACTAAAACCACCACATAGAAATGGTTATGGAAGATTGCAACCGCGGTTAGGTGAGACAGAGCGGGAAGCATATAGGCTTAATATTAAGTAAGCTAAATTTTTCAAAGCCAGAAAGCATGGCTCAAATTATTTTAGAAGGATGGTGTTTATAGATCTAAGATATTCAGCAATCCAAAAATTATAATATAGGTCATGTGCGAGTTAGGCTACGTTGCGTTCTAAATGAGGGAAATTCTAAGTTGTGCCGATAATGTAGTGATGTGTCGATACGTGTTGATAAATGGCTAAATGTGTGCAGTGCAAAAAATCCCGAAAAATTTCCCATTTGGTTTAGCATCAACTTAGCCTAACTCGCACACATCCATAGTTTAGTTCTAGGCATAATTCTGCCTGCGCAATAGTTGTCCCATATGGTAGTACATATGGAATATGTAGTCTTTCTTTTCAAGTGTTAGAATACTTTTAATTCAATATATTATACTTTCAATATAATCTTTAGAAGTACGGAAAATATCATTATTTAGTAGAGTTTATGGTATACCTTTATTAAATATAAACATACTTATCAGCATAAGACAACGATAAATGCCTTCATTGGAATTCTTAGAAATTTTATCGCTACCAATTGAAGTAATACGTTTGGATATAGTTTTTTCCTTGTAACGAAGCGAACACCTCAGCTGTTCTTTAAGGCACAGAATTCAGTTGGGAAATGCAACTCCACATCACATACAAAAAATGAATACAGTCATTTTTATTAAAAGAACCAACCTCAAACGGTCAGGATAGCCGAAACCCTATTCTCTGTGATACTAGATTTACACCGTCTCTCACTCACTACCAATTATATTCCAAACTGTATCGGGTGGTGCCTACTGGATTTTAGTCTCTTTTTATGACAGACATGCTTTATTTCAAAAATATTCTAATCCCTTAACAATGGGGTAATCACTCAATAGGATAGATTAGACTTGTTGAGTCATTAAGTTTTCGTATAAAAATCGAATGGCTTAAGGGGCTGAGAGAAAATGCATCAGAGAACTATATTTCTTTATATAAATAATAATAAAACTTTTATTTTCAATTACTTAAATTATCTGATCCCTTTTTACTTATTCTTCAAAACCGATTGCTTGAATTGTTTATCTATTTGTGAAGAAGATTTGAACTGAGCAGCTATTTTCCAATTTTATTTAAATGTAATTTGATAAATTTGTTCAATTAAAATTTAAGTGAATTTAGTACAGTAGGGTATAGCACTTTAGATACGGAAATATATAAAGTTAAATTAATTTATACCATGTTTCCAGTTTTGCTCATTAAGGCCACTTATAAGGTAATTACCATACATTATGCTTCCATATAAAAGAGCTCATTATAAATAAATCAACTGATTAAAGGTGAAAATTTTCGAATGCAACCCTTAAAAAGAAATGTCCCACAAGTGAAATTACCATAATATGAAATATTTGTCGTATGTTTCATTTGTTAAATGTAAATAAACAAGCTATTTCAAATGCTTAAATCAGCTTATACCAATAGAAACGAACAAATCTTGATTTCATTAACACAAGTAAAATTTAAAACAAGAACAAACTGGAAGAAGAAATGAAATTTTATTGTATTCATATCATCATCAAAGATGGAGGTCAAAAACCACATGCAAAGCAGAATAGAGAAAGCTGGTTGATGTAGCTAAAGCTCACCCCGAGCTGTAACGCTCATGATAATGATGATGATGATGATGATTGTATTCATATCTCAATGTTCAGGTGGTTTTAAACGCTGCATCTTGTTATTATACTGAAATACAATTGGACAATAGACTTTAGTGAATCCTCTTTGGATTGCCTGTATAATTTTACTTAATCTAATATCTCAATATCTAGATATTAGATATCTAAACATTAGAAAAATATCTCACGAATTTCAATAAATGATTTACTTATTATAAATCTCTAACGTTGTATATATTTTTTTATATATTTTTCGTTTCAACACGAAGGCAACCCTGAGGGACTTCGAATGGATGTCTACCACATCATGTGACAGTTTTACAAATACAACTGTTAGCGCTATAAGTAATGCAATGGGCACAAATTTGGAACTATGACCCCTTCATATGGGAAATCTGATGAGTTACTATAATAAATTTATATTTTTAATTAGTTTCAATTGTTAATTCTTTTTAAAATATATCGAATAACAAAAACAACTATAAATATATAAATTGCTCTGCAAAAACCTTTTAACAATTTAACAAAAATTTTATTGCAAAATATTGTACGAAAAGATATGATTTTATTTTATTAATAATATTAGTTCAACAATTGTATTATTTATAAATATTTAATACAATAAATAATTATTATGGATTCAAACGAATCTCCTAACATAAATTGTTACAGTTATCAACACTTATTTTACTACAAAACAAAACAAAAAAAAAAAAGAAAAATAAACAATTCTTAACACTTTATTAAACACTTTTATTGCAAATTGCTGAGTACTTAAAAATTTTTAATTAATTATGAATAAAAAAAGTATATATAAGAAAATAAAGATACAAAACAAAGCGTATTGTGAGCGATATCTTGTAAAAGATATACATATAATATACATTGTTAGTTACAAAAACAATTAT